ATATTAAATGACTAATGATTAGACAAAATAAATGGCTAAATTATTTGATCAAATTAAATGATTAGTTTAAATAAAATGTAAAATTAAATAAATCAATAAATGGTAGATAAATGTATAAAATAAGGTAAAATAAATGTGTAAATATTTTAAATTTAATAAATTAAATGATTAAATAAAATAAAATATTAAATTAAGAATAAAATAAATGAAATATAAATAAATAGCTAAATTATTAGACAAAATAAGATTAAATTTATAAAGTTTAAATAAAATTTACAACGAATGAAATGCTTTAAAGTAAAAAAAAAAAATTAAGAATAAAATTAAAAGTTAAAATTAAATATTGCCTTCATCTCTGTTTTTTCTGATTTTAGCAAATACGAGGAAGTGTATCCTCCAGAGGTGGATGAGTTTGTCTACATCACGGATGACACCTATACAAAGAAACAGCTGCTTCGGATGGAGCAGCACCTGCTCCGAGTGCTTGCGTTTGACATGACCGCTCCCACAATCCACCAGTTTCTGATGCAGTACAGTTTGGAGGAGCATGTCTGCGCCAGAACTCTAAACCTCGCTCTGGTATGGGTGGTTTGTAAGGTAGGCTTCATTTCTTTCCATCCTAAATTGGATATTGATTTCTTCTCTCCATGTCCGGTAGTATCTCTCAGAACTGAGCTTGCTTGAGGTGGATCCTTTTGTGCAATATCTGCCATCCAAGACCGCTGCTGCAGCATATTGTCTGGCCAACTACACTCTAAATGGGGCTTTGTGGGTGAGTTTTGTTGAAGCCACTAATGCATTTTAAGAACTTTTTGAAAGCTTATATTCGATCCATTTCTTGCATGCGCATGCATATTGGTGGTGATCTAAACCAATCTGCAAAGGTGGTGTCCAATATGTTGTCCTGCCCATTTAATGTTGTGAACTGTGGGTGCTGCAAAATAGTAGGACTTTAAGCATGAAGTGCAACATATTAACCGGGGGCTTAGGATATGTATGAGCAGTTGAAGCCATTAGCTTTCACTTGACCAGAAACCAAGAACAAGTTCAAGAAATTCTGGTTTAGTTTGGTGCTTTCCTTGTGTTTTTAGTAACTTTTTAGTTTTTTTTTTTTTTCCTCCCTCTACTTTTTATTTATTTATTTTTTTTTAAAAATCTTATTTATTTGTTGTTTGAGTTAGTACAGCTAACATTTTAAAGTTTCATAAATGTAATTTGCCGCAATCTGTGTTCAGTGGCGGTTGCATCTTTTCTGTGCCTTCAATATGACCGAATAAAAGAAAAGTGCAGATGCTTTAGTTTAGGTTTTTTTTTTTTTTTTTTTTTTTTTTTTTTTTTAAATAGTAAAAATAGCTTCAATTTAATTGCTAGTTGATAAATTCCTTGTTTTAAAGGTTTATAAGTTAAAAAAAAAAGTTTATTTTAGGGTCAGTTGTGATGTATGCTTTCATGTATATCCCTGTTTCAGACTCTTAAGATGCACTTAAATCTCTGCACGGATGTTTAGTTGACATCAAATATTGGCTCTGAACGAAGACGAAACGATGTATTGTGTTAGGCAATTCCAACCTGCCTAATGAGTTACCCTCAAATTATCTTCGTTTTTAAAACTTATCAAGTTTCAAATTTGATAAACTGGTAAATTTAGTGATCTAGGCTAGCTTTTTCAGCTTCGGCTTATTGCCAAAGTCAAGCCATTTCTGAGCCAGCGTGACCTAGAAAAAAAAAAACATATCAGCTCTTGTCTAGACTATTGTAATGTACTTTGTTAATTAACTAAACACTACATTTACAACTAGTGCAAAATGCTGCTGCTCGCATGCTGAAATAGTCGCAAACGTGAGCATATTACACCTCCACTCTCTTCACTGGCTCTGTTAGGTTCAGAATTAAAAAAAAAAAAAAAAAAAAGTAGTTAACACAGTTAATAGACTTGCACCTTCATATTTATGAGATTTTAAGATTCATAAACCGAACGGGGCCCTATGTTCATCAAGTCAGTTGTTTCTAGAGGTCCTTGGATCTAGGTACAAACAATGGGGTGATCGTTCATTTGCAGTAGCAAGTCTGAAACTATGGACGCCTTGCCTTTAGAAGTTCGCATCATTACAGATGTGGCACTATTTAAAGCTAAACTCAAAACTTATTTATTTAGACTTGGTTTTTGAAATTTGTTTCTAAAAAAAAAAAAAAATTCATGGTTTTATTGACAACGGTGTTATTTTGAGTTGATGTTTAAAATTGTTTTTAGGACTGTAAAGCAGTTTGGGCAGCCTCCTGGTTGTAATAACGTGCTATATAAATAAAGTTTAATGGAAATCTGCTTGATGCATGATGTTTTGGCCCAGTGAATTATGGGTGTTTTTACTTTGTCCTGGAGTTGACCACTTATATTATTGCAGATGTACATGTTCTAGTCCTATTCTAAAGGGTTTACGTTGAGTTTACTTGGAGCATTTCATATTTGCAATTGCGAGATGATAAAAAAAAAAAAAAAAAAAAAAAATTTAATGCACTTTTCTAAAACTCAAAGCACTACAACAAGAGTAATAAAACGTGCAATAAAAGACAAGTATAGATTAAATTCTAAAATATTAACTAATTAGAATGATCAAGAATCTAAAAATGCTTTCTTAAACATGAGTTAACATCTTAAAACTAGCTAGTGTGAATGCATTTCTTACAGTATAAGGGAGAGCATTCCAAAACCTGGGTGCAGCAACAGAAGGCTCTCTCCCCCATTGATATTTAATATTAAATACGATATGCATGTGCTTTTGAAATGTAAAGGTGTGTATCAGGAAAAAAAACATCCTTATTGGTGTCTAAATGGCAACTGTAAACCATGTTTAATACCCAGTTGACTGCTTTTAAACTTGTGAAACTTTATTTTATTTTTTTTTATTGCTTTTACTGCTGTTTCATGATTGTCACTGTCTAGATATACTGCATTATAAATCCCATTCTAAAGCCAACATCCCTCCATTTGTGATCTTGCATGCCTTTTGTCTAATCTATTTAAAATGGTTTTGTTTCTGTCAGCCTGAGAATCTGTATGCCTTTACTGGTTACTCTCTGGCTGTGATTGGCCCGTGTTTGAAAGAGCTTCATAAGCTCCATCTCGGGGCTGGAAGTCGCCCTCAACAGGCCATCCAGGAGAAGTACAAGAGCTCGAAGTAAGCATACCTTTTTGTTATGGGTGTAGTTTTGTACCTTTTTTAAGGCGTAGTTTAACCAATTTAATAATAATAATAATAATAATAATAATAATAATAATAATAATAATAATAATAATAATAATAATAATAATTATAATAATAATTATAATAATAATTATAATAATAATTATAATAATAATAATATATTTTGAGTCCTTTCCTCATTGGAACATTTTCCTTATGTTCTAACCCAACACTCTTATGCCAAAAACCAACTTACCAATGTCTTCCACAGAGCAGGGTTTTTACTACAGCCTATATGACTTTAATATCATTCTGTTTTTAGTAAATGCGTTCTTATTTAATTATCCCCACCCCAATTCTCAGATACCCTGACCCAATTAAATTTTTTAGAAGTCTGCAGTTTTTTTTAAATGTATATTTCCCCCTCCCTTTTTTCATTGGAAGAGTCAACCCTTTTAATTCCTGACCATTCCTCCCCATCCCTTCTAGATATCATGGAGTGTCCCAGTTGGAACCTGTAGAGACTCTGCCGCTGCCCTGACGTTCTGGTGACTACAAGTCCCCTTATGCCGACAAATGAACTGCAGCGCTTGAGTCTATTGTAAATATTGAGTGAAATTGTTTTTAAATGTGGTTTTAACTTTTTTTTTAAAATGTGATTTTTATCATAGGGTGCACGATTATAAAGCGATCCAATAAAATGGTGTGACTTGTTTCTCTTTAAATCCAACATGCTGTTGGTGTGAAGGCTGTATGTTGCCATAAGTAATGGCTTGAGATGAACTAATGGTTTTGTACCACTACCTTTTTTTAGGGTGTCTGTTCGGATATACCATGTATTTTACCTGTATAGTATGTGCAATATCATGTGCTCCATACTGCATTTTAATAAATGAAACAAGTTGCAGTATTGCTTCAGTTCTGTCTGGTATACTTGTGTATGGCGACCTCTAGCCTTCAATGTCTGAATCGCAATTCTCCCAAACAAATTGTGAACTTCTGCTTAAGTGAATTAACATTAATTCTTTATTGGTTGTAAGCCTAGTTTATTGTACACAAGGTGTTCTAAACATCGCCGGTAACTGGCACCTATTGACTGGTAACAGGAAATTACTATGGGTGTTTTATACCAGATTTTTTTTTCTTAATTCAAGAAGCAAGCACAGATTAAAAAACTAACGACTAACATGGTAAATATTCCTTTACAACGTTGTAATCGCACCAGTTTATTCACCCAACAGTCTGGGTTTCATTCCCATAACTTATGTTTAAGTTTCTTTCATCTGTTAAACTGATACCAAAGCTGTAAAAACTGCAACCACTGACTTCCACAGTGTTTTTCTACTATTGATGTGGTTACAGGTGTCTTCTCCCCCAAAATATATTTCCTTCAACGGGAAAAAAACCCAAAAGTAGGAAATTAAGAAGTGTCATATTTGGGTAAACGAACCATTAAATCCTTCATAACCACTACACGACCAGCTGCTAACGTGTACTCTTTATACTAAGGTTACGTTCGTCCTACTTAGTTAGACAACCTCTGCTTTTTTTCTATATGACGAGCTAGTCTCAGTGACTGCTATGCTTCTCAACTACGAAATATGTCACATCAATGTAAACCTTTGTTGCGCGCTTTCAGCTGTTAAAATATTTTGTTTGCGTGTGTGAGAACAGCTTGAACTTTAATTACGCATTTCAGTAATCTAGTTGAACCTGCTTGGTGACAATACATCATTTAGTCAAGAGTCATCATGGTAGAGAAATGTGCTCGTTAATAAATTAGCAGCACTCTGGATAAGCAAGTGGGCCACGCTTTACGTGCGTTTTACGCACTCAACTTTTTTGTTTAATCGTTTCACAATTTCAGCTCGGACTGTGCGTTTACAAACGCGAGCATGCAGACGCCTGAACCCGCCGAAATTCGTGTCATTCGCGAGAACTACGATAAAGCTCTGCAGTGTCTGAATACCGGACTTCAGTTAGATGAAGCTGGCAATAAAGACCAGGCTCTGGTCCTGTACAGGCTGGGCCGGCGGCACCTGCTCAGTGGGTTGCAGGTGGACACACGGGGCGGGCGCTGCACCGGCCGCTGCTGGGACTCTGCCCGACAAACGCAGCTGAAGATGGGAGAGACTCTGCGCACCATCACTGCTCGCCTCGGGGCTCTAGAGTCCGCTTCAAACACGGGTCAGAGACTTTATCCGACTCTCCCTGTCTTCCAGGACAAGGTACAAACAAATTGAATATATAACTCATAAATTATATATCTACATATCAGTAGGCCAAAGTGCTACAATAGTGTGTAAATAGCCTATACTAAAATGTTTTTTTTTTCTTTCTTTTTTTTTTTAAACAAGTGCTTTTGTTGGATATTCTTAAAATAGCATCAATTGGGTAGGAATTTAACTTTTTAATCTTGTGCAAGTAACTTTTATCCAGCTCTACCTGTCTTCCAGAACTCCCAGAGAGCATTTAACAGCAGAGGGGCCTCAGGAAGGGCCCCTTCTCGCCCTGTTTCCCCTCCAGTGGGCTTCGCGGTGCCTAATGAACTCCCACCAGCCTACACTCCTCAGCCAACAGACGGGCATCTGTCACTCTCTCATGGAGCCAACAGAGCGTTTCCAGATGCCCCACACCAGGGGTCCCGGCGTCAGGCTGTGGCCCCGGTCAATCTCAGAGAGGCCGGGATGGAGATTATGTTCTTGCCCAGCGGGGTGCAGATGTTTTTTGTGTCTGCTGAGGGTCGGGTCACTGCACCTTCTTATCCAGGGTACCTGAGGATCATCATATACAGCCAGGACTCGGATGGCAGTGCCAACACTGGCTATGCTCCAGCTTACCTGCAGGTAAACACCAGCACAAATGCAGTAGTCAACAATCAAACTGAATCAAAAATGTTATTCAGAATTGTCCAAGTACAAGAATGGGAGTTGTTCAATACTTTTTGGACAACTTCGAAGAAAGTCTGTTTCGTTGTTCACCAGTGAACTTATTTTTCTTATTCTCCATTTATTGTTATATAAATTGAAAAAAGATAATAAAGCCAAATAAAATAAAATGCACTAAATAATTATTCATTGGATTTACTTTTTTAAGGTAAGTGGTTGCAAATAGTTTATATGGGCTGAATTTAAGTTGAGCATTACTAAATATAATGTGTTTGTTTAAATTCAGGGTTGCAGCTGGAAGGGCATCCACTGCGTAAAACATATGCTGGATAAGTTGGCGGTTCATTCCACTGTGGCGAACCCTGATTGATTAAAGAGACCAAGCCAAAAAGAAAACTAATAAATGAATGAATGTTTAAATACAGTCCATAAAATTTTTTTGCAACCGCTTACCTTAAAAACTTTAGTCCAATTAAGCATTTTTTTTCAGTGTTATATGAGAAACATGGTGAATGGCAGCTAAAGCTGAACGACAAATTTTCTAATCAAATAAAAATATATATATTTTTCACGTACACACTGTCATACGCAGAAATGCTTCTGAACAGCCGTGATCTTAAAAAATATCAATAAGAAAAAAATGATTGAATAAAGAATTAGAATGCGAGTTCGACTAGAAGATGAAGATGAGGTTCTTCAGAGTTCCATTAATGGTCGCCAAATTCAATAGTTCTTTACGATTGTCACAATGCTGGAGAGATTGTGGAGATGCGGGGGACTAGGTTCACATATTTTGGGAATGCCCCAAAATACAAGTGTATTGGCAAGAGGTTAAAAGGGAGATTAGTAAAGTTTAAGGATAAAACATACCAATGCACCAAGTATTTTTTTTTTGCTTGATGACTTTCCCTCTGATCAATTCAGTATGTCTCACCTTTGCACTACACTTATTATTAATAACAGCTTGGAAAATAATTACAGTGAACTGGATAAAGACCCGCTGACCTACTTTGACAGAATGGACACCGAGGCTGAATTTATATTTGTGAAAATGACTGCAGATTTGCAGTTGAAATCAGGCATTTTTCAACAGACCTGGGCATTTATCGAAACATATTTACTTGATCTTTGAAATGCTGTTAGGGGCTTTGTTGTAGTTACTGTCTTTTATATTGGAGTATTGGATGTAAACATTTTGAGTAAACTAAGTGTATGTTTATAAAAACTTTAATCAAAACACAGTTTAAAAAAAGAAAGGGAATGCATATAGCTATAGAAAACAAAATGTATATAAAACTTAGCTGTACAAATATGGAAAACTTTTAATTTAACTGAAACATGCAGCGTACAAAACGAAAGGAAACTGAAAATATAAAACTTATAGTAAATTACAAGATATAAAAAAGACAAATAAATTACAAATTAAAAAAAGAATATACATTGCCTCTACTGGACTGTTAAGACAGATATATTTTTCTAAATGTTTTTCTAAATATTTCTTTAAAAAAATGCATTTTATTTTGTTAGATTTATGCTTAAATTAATAATAAAAAAGGAGAATACCAGCACAAGTATACTCTGCTTGGCCTGTTTCTTTTTCTCACTTATTTTCTCCTCCATTTGTTGTTATATGGAAAAACCTAAATAAATATAAATAGTAGATTGGCAACTAAATAAAAGATTAAGCTGAAGAACAAATTTTCAAATCAAAAAAAGTCTTGGTTAATTTGTCAAGTTTTGTAAACTAATTTCGAGAGCATCACATGCATTGATTGATCTCAGCTGGTCCTGCGTCAACAATCACTGATAAACCAATCACACGAATCCAAGCCTCCAATAAAGAGCCCAATATGTCTTACCTCCCTTCATATTTGAAGAATCTCCTATCCACCCTATCCACCCCATCTCCCCTTTCCTCTTTTACCAGGGGGAGCTCTTGAGACCTACATGCTCTCGGACCAATTTCCATTCTGTACGACCAGGTGGGAGACCTGGGCTCAAGTATCTCTGAGCTGTGAATGTAACAAACAGTGGAACACCCACAACCTAAAAAAAGATGATCAATAAGAAATAAATTATGGAATAAAAAAATCTATATCTAAATCTAAAACTATAGAAAATAAGAATAAAATGTATGTAAAGCTATACAAATATAGAAACCTTATTATTAAAGCTTATTAGTTAAAGCAAATCATAAGATATTAACACATTCCAAAACAATGGCATATAACTTGGCAACTGAACGTTGTTATTTAAGACATTTCATTTTCCTTTTTAAAACGGTGTGTTTTATTTTGTTGGATTTATGCTTAAAGTATTAATAAACAAGGGGAATACCAGCACAAATACTCTGGAGTGTTTTTGAACCATTTCTTAAAATATAATAAAAAAACATATAAAATATACAAACATGGGAATAAAAAAAAAATAAAAGTGTAGCCTTTAAAAAAAAAACCTAAGTATAAAACTTACATTAATTTTATACATGTTAATAGGCCTAAATGCTAGAGTAGTCTACTACAAAAGTGTTTCTCTTTATTTTGTTGGGTTTATGCTTAAAATAAGAATAATTTTGTAAGAATGTAAAATTCTTACTCTTGTGCAAACAAATATAAATAGACTATATAAATACATATTTTGATTTTGAAAGCACCTCACATTTGTACTGTAAACAAACTAGCAAGAATTGTTTATCGAGCATAAGGTTGGGTCTTGTGACGATCACATGAAAGTGTCTTCTAAAGTTTGGTTGGATTGAGCATTTGTTCTTGGCTAAGAGTAGAATAACTGAGATTACTGTCATACTTAACATTATTACAGGCACATTGTTGTGCATTATAGAGCAGAGAGAGGAGTTTAAAAGTTTTTTTTTTAATAATTTTAAATATGATTTAAAGTTCAATTGGCATGTATTACACATTTTCTTATTTTTTTTCGCCAAAATTTTGTTGCATTTCCGGTTTGTGGAACTTGTATTTAAAAAACGGAACCAAATAAATTAAAATAAGGATGTGCTACAAATAACTCATACACGCAAGTGAGAGGTACAGCGGGGTAAATAAGTTTTCAATGTTTTTTCATCATTTTCTCTCAGAAAACATTTCTAAAGGAAAGAGAGAAAACAAATCTAATTACCTTCCAAATTAAGTCATGAATGAGGCGTCTTTAAGCTGCCATCACCGAAAAACCCTTCTATATAAAGTATTAAATACGTTTTAGTAGGTCAGCACTTTCTCCTTGTCATTTCATTGTTCGTACAAAAAAAAATCTGATTTTTCTTTTCGTTTGTTTTTTATATTCAAGTTGTTTGTTTATTTTTTCCCCAAAATCTGGTCCAATTTCATGTCAACAGCTTCTTCAGAAGTATTATTCCCAAGAAAAAAAAAAAACATGACATGTTTAGTACTTTTTTTACCCGCTGTATGTTTGGCTTTGTGCATTAGTTTTATCCATCACAAGAATAACATTACTCTTTTTTTTTTTTTTTTTTTATACTTTATTTATAGAAGTTTTTGTAAGAACATAACACCAAATAATGTACATCATATATATATATGTTGACAAACTTGTCTCAGTGTTATTACCTTATACTAACTAGAACATGCACCAAAACACAAGCAAACATAACAGCAATTTTACAGCACCATCTCAAAACAATAAAGAAATTTTAGCCAGACTGATGTAATAAGAGACAAAATTGAATAACATGTAAAAAGGAAGTGGAGAGAAGAAAAAAATATTACCAGAAAAAAAAATATTACAGAAACATTAATAACCTATACATCTAAGGAAGGGGCCCCATGTTTTGTCATACAACTTTTGTTTGCCAAATCCAGAGAAGCGTATCCTTTCCAACTTGAGGGCAGAAACCATTTCAGCTAACCATTTAAAAAAATTTGGAGGTGTTGTGGCTTTCCACTCCATCAGAATCACTCTCTTGGCCAACACCATGCCAAATAACATTACTCTTTATGTTTTAATGTGACAATAGTGTCACACGCATCTGAAAAAGCACTTGAGTTCAGTGTCTTGTTTATCTAGATAAATTGTGTTTTTTTTTTGTGTGTGTTTTTTTGTGTGTCCATCTTGTGTGTTTCATACAGTAATATTCAACAAATCTATTTTATTGCTGTGTAAAATGTCTATTTTTAATACCAGATAGATGAACTGATGAGAGAATAAATGACACCTTCATGTACCATGTATTAAAGTTACTTATTATTATTATTATTATTAAGCAGTTTGATCAAAGTTACTCCCCTAATTTACTCAAAGCATCATTAGTAGGGCCAGAGAGAATCAGCAGACATTTTTTGCTGAGAATTTTGTAAAAATGTATGTGGCATGATTTTCGGAGTATCATAACTAAAAACTTATTATATAAAATAAAAAATAAACCCTTTTGTTAACTTTTATTTAATGTTTGCACTGCAACTAGATTAACTTATTTGGTAAAGTAATCTCATGCAATATATCTACTAAAAGAAAGAAAATATCACTTCACAAACTATTGTAAAAAAATCAAATGAACATTTTCACATTAGTAAATTATTAGTTATAATATTGCTAAAATCAATAAAAAAAACTACATTTACAGACATTTACACTAGTTATTTTATTTTTATTAAACTCGATGGGCTAAAAATAGTTTATAGTCTGATAGTCATAGAAAAATTGTTTGATATTTAATGATGTTTAAACTAGTAGTTTCACTTTCAATAGTTGATTTGCAGTCATTCAACTCTGACTTTTTTCATTCTCAGATGTCAAAAGGTGGTTTTACAACCCACAAAAGCCAGTCCGACAGGTTAAACCAAAAGGCTTTAGGTTTGTTTGGGTCGTGCGGTGCTAGAAACAGTGCGTTGCCGATGACAACAGGCTTCTTTGTGCAGAGTCGGTCTGCATGCTGGATCAGCAGATAGTAAAGTCATTCAGCGGCCGTGCAGGATTGGCAGATTTCCAGTTCAAGGGCTGTTAGTAGTCAGGATTGTCCATTGCTCTGGGGTTTGGTGTATAGGACACATGCCATCCACGCTTTAACAGATCTGTTGCTTGCGTCCGATAGTTATCTTTTGTCCCAATTTAGTCATGCAGAACAAAAGCAGGCTTGCTGAACCCTCACACAGCACCCTATATTTGCGATTTAAAATTGGTCTCACTTCAAACCAGTTGTCAAACATACTGTATATACAATGAAATTGTACAACACAAAGTTAGTTTTGTTTATATTAAATCTTGGGACTTTCATGCAATATCCTTGAGTAAAAAATACTATTAATTGCAGCCTAATTGACACATTTATTAACACTTTTTGATATGAACACATTTGGGTTTCAATTATATGCACCATGTCTGAAATTAATACTTTACTGAAATCTAAATTTGAAATTATTATTGTGTTTTACATTTCAGCATTCAAATATACTATGAGATAAAATCGCATATAGTGATTAGTGGACCCCCCCCAACAGCAACATCTGAATGACACAAATATACAGTTAAAAAAATTACATTTTTTATTTTTTTGTAATTAGTATCTTAAAAGGATAGTTCAGCCACAAATAATTTCCTCACTTTTATAAAACTTGGTTGACCTTTTAACCATAATTTAAACAAATTATGAAATGTGTAATGTTTCTTCATTTGAAAAGATCAGGTAAACAAAATGAGAAGATCCGAAAAGGTCATAAAGATGTCATAAAATTAATCAATACAAACTGACTATTTTTATATACATATTACATTTACATGTACTCATATAGCATACAATTTTGTCCAAAACAACTTACAATTGAGGCATTCAGTGATTCAACAAGAAGAGGCAATACACACAAGAAGTGTTTATTAAGAAAAGGGTAAGTGCTCAGATAGAGTTAGGAGAGGTAGGTTTTTAGCGAGAGAAGTGTTTTTACGGGTGGATTGTCAAGTCCTTTTACCTGTGTGAAGCACACTTCATAAATGCACAGTTTTAATTTTTATATAGATATTAGATATTGTATATATTGTAAGAACGTGTCTGAAAAAAAACTGGTGCAAGTGTTTGTTAAAGTGTCAGAGAGATGTTTTCTCAACGCAATCTCACAGCAATTTGTTACTTTTTGATTTAGTGGCTAATTTGTAATAACTTGTTTGATCTCATTCATACAATTTAGTATGATTGGCTCATCACCCAATGACGGTTGGGTTTAGGGGTGGGGTTGTGTGTGTGTGTATATTTACACACACACACCTACGTACATTTCAATAAACATGTACATGTAGACATATGCAATACTGCATGTTAACAATGTTTTTTTATATATATATATATATATGTATGTATATACGTGTGTGTGTGTGTGTGTGTGTGTGTGTGTGTGTGTGTGTGTGTGTGTGTGTGTGTATATATATATATATATATATATATATATATATATATATATATATATATATATATATATATATATATTTAAATAATATCAGCATCCGTACAGCCTCTTTACCCTTTGTGTGTTACTCCGCCCACATACAGCCAGCAAAAAGCAGACACTACAGATCTAAAGTTTAAACGATGCACGCTCAACTGTTTAACTGTCAGCTTATGATTTGAATCCAACGCGGAAGAAAGTAGTTCCTCATACAAAATGTTTTTTGAGACTCTCTATGTTTAATTTTGTATTTATATACACAATTATGCCGTCAAACTGTTGTATAAACACAATTTCATATATTATTAGTTAAAGTCTGAATTTGGTTGTAATGCAGTGTGCACCTTTTGTAAAGCTGATTTGGAACAATAATTATTGTGAAAAGCAAAATACAAATAAACTTGAATTGAATTGAACTATAAGGCAAAAAAATGTAATGAGATTGAAAAATGTTGTTAACTTTATGGACTAAATCAAATATTAGCACTGATTCAATTGTCCTGGTATAAAGGTAAAGTTTAGTAAAAGTGTGTGTAAATCTTGTTTTCTTTGCAGGTTTGTGACTGGATCTACCCGCTGTATCCAGACTTTCCTGTCTTGCTGAGCAACAATGGTGTGTTCACCTTTCCTGACACCACTGCAGCGGTGCCGGGGTCCTACGTTGGAGTGGTGCTGTCCTCAGATCTACCAGCAGGGGAGAGAGATCTGTTCCAGGAGCAGCTGTCAGTGTTGGCGCAGCTCCGGGTCCAGGTAATCACACTCACGTTTGATGTAAGATTTTACATTCAGTCATTTCATAAATAAAATACAAAAGCAAAAACATTTTGCATTTGCTTCAAGTTGACGAGCAGACAGCTGCTTTGACTGAAAGTGACGGTTTTTTGGAAGTCATACTTTATGTATCACTAAAATAATTATAGTGTATTTTTCTCACAATTTTTCTTTTCTCCTCTTTTCTTAGTTGTTTTTGGTCTGCTCAGTATTATTGCAAACAAATAAAGGCTTTTGTAATCATTGTAAATGGATATGGAAGTTACATAGAGGACAATATTATTGGAATCACATTCAGCATATATATATATTTTTCCATTTCAGCTTATGTGCTATTAAAATATTGACAGCCAATCAGAATTCTTCCTGCTTTTAAGAGCTGTAGAATGTACGGTTCCCAGTACTGGGTAGCAGCTGGAAGGGCACCCGCTGCATAAAACATGCTGGATTAGTTGGGGGTTCATTCCACTGTGGTGACCCGAACAGAAGCTGAAAAGAAAAGGAATATTGTTGTAAATGTCAGTTTAGTGGTTTGTTTATATTTTGTGAGCACATTTCTATTTGGTGTTTTAATATTAGGTCCAGAGTAAGTCAAATGTTTATCATTTATTATTTTATTTGTTAGTTTTTTTTTTGTACAGTTTTAGTTTTTTCCATTTATTGTGAAACAAATTTCAGTTAAATAGTTTTTGTTGTAGTTTAATTATGAAAGATAAACTTGCTTTAGTCGACAGGCCTGGTTCCCTGATAAATAATTTCCCTTTAGGACATTTTCCTGGATGCATTCTCACTATTTCTGAAGGTCTGGTGCCGGCAGGCTTGTTTAGCTAAACAAATAATGTTCATTTTGATGATTTTTCCATGGCCAATCAATATCTGAAGTGCTCAAAATGCACATTAATTTTGTTAACTCTACAGCTTGAAATCTCAGCCAAGGTGGTACTGTACAGAGTGTAAAATCTCCCAAAAATGAGCTGTGCCATGAGTCCAAAAGAACGAGAATGTGTACACATTGTTGTATTACATTTTACTAATGATGTAAAAACACACAGCTGTTTTATCCTTATAAGCTAGGGGATAACTCACACAAAAATTAAAAAATACTCTGTTTACTCACCCACAAGTGGTTTCAAATTGATTGATTTTTTTCTGTTAAACACAAAAAAGAAGATATTTAGAAAAATGTTAGAAACCTACTGTAAAAATGTTGGAATTGCTATCAATAATTAAAGCTAAAAATCGTATATAATTTATGTATTCATTTGTTTGTGGTTTTTAATTGTATATTTATTAATGAAATGTTTTTGCCCTCAAAATAGCCATTGTTGCTGACATTAAATAAAAATACATGATATATATGATGAAACCTACTGTATAAGCATTGACTTTCATAGTAGGAAAAACAAATACTATGGAAGTCAATAGTCACCGTTTTTTTTAACCTTTTCCAAAATATTTTATTTTATGTTCAACTCAAACAGGTTTGTGACAAGTGAATGATGACTAAATGCTGACAGAAGCTTCAGATTTGGGTGAACTGTCCCTTTAAGCTTGCTGCTTGATACGGGTCATAACTGAGGCTTTTTCATTCAAGGTAGATGAAGAAGGCGGCGGCGCTACAGGAGCAGACACAAACCTGAGTGAAAAGATTCCTCTATCAGAAGCATCTCAAACGCCAGAGGAGAAAACTGCCCCTGTGTGGAGCGAAAAGATGTCACAGAGCATCCTAGCAGGTTTGAACACTAGATCATATGGAAGTAACCAAAACCACATGTTGTACAGCTGAAGCCTGAATTATTATCCCTCCCTGCATCTATTTTTTCCCAATTTCTGTTTAACGGAAAGACTTTTTTTTTTTTTAAACACATTTCCAAAGATAAAAGTTTTAATAACTAGTTCATATGCAGTATGAATGACAGCAAAATCTATGCATACCTCTTGTGCATGAATGCTCACTTATCATATAGCCTGTTTGTTGTGGATACTGTAGTTTTTCTGAAATGCAGTAATAATGCTCATTTGGATGTAAACACATCCTGTGTGAATGCTGGCATATGAATCCTAATGCACACCAAACTATGGTCTAAAACAGGGGAGTCCAAACTCTGTCCTGGAGGGTCGGTGTTCTGCAAATTTTAGCTCCAAGTCGCCTCAACACACTTGCAAGGATGTTTCTAGAAAAGCCTGATTATTTAGCCCAGGTGTTTCTGATTGGGCTAACTAATCAGGCTCTTACTAGGCTTTCTAGAAACATTCCTGCCGGTGTGTTGAGGCAAGTTGGAACTAAACTTTGCAGGACACGGGGCCTCCAGAACCGAGTTTTGACTCTACTGGTCTAAAATATATATACTTTTTGGAAATAATTCTGTAGATCACTATAGTGTTTACCTTTTAAAATATCTTTGCTTGAGTTCAACATAAAAAGACACTCATAAGGGTTTGGAATCATTTACATGTGAGCAAATAGTTTCATTTTTGGACGAACTGTACCTTGAACACATTTTTGGGACATTTCAAAATCATCCACTAGAGGTCACTCTAATACACTAGGAATGTAGATACAACTTGATTTGGCTAGTTTTATGGTTTGTTGACTGAAATATGTGCATATATTAACCGTATCAGAGATTCTCCTAAACAAAGAAACCTTTATAATGTATTTATTTAATGACTACATATGAACATTTTGTGTATTTGTATTTTGTTTATAGTTGCCTCCCCTGGGTTCTATATTTTTACTGTAAAATGTTATATTCTGCTCTTGGTTAATTTATTGATTTAAAAAAGAAACAGACTTTCCTGAAAAAAATAAAAATAAATAAATAGCTGATTTTACCAAGTGAATCGTGCTCCTGGGTTGTTGCTAGAAGAGTTACAGCTCCAGTCAGAAGTTAACAAGAAGTATTTATATTATTTATTAAACTACACTTAACATTACTTTCTTTGGCTTAGTCCATGATTTTTCAGGGGTCTACCCCATCCCAGTCCTGAACCTACCCCTCACACTAACATAAAAAAATAGAAATTATTTTTGTACAGTGTCATTAAAAGTATGCCAAAAATGGTCCCGATTAGACGACATAAAAATATAAAACACAGAAAATTTCCTAAAAATGCATTAAACATCCATTTTGCACAAGTCTACAGTTCTCTTGTGTTGCATTTATATTTGTTTCTTCAACTTTTTGCAGCTGTATCCCTTCTATACTTTACCATGTCTAAGGATTTTTGTTGATCCTGCAACAACATTCCAGTCATCCAATCAGATCTGAGCAACAGTTTTACAATTTAGTGTCAAGTTTAGGCTTACAATCAGGGCTAGGTGCTTCTATTTTATCGTTATTCCTTATTTTTTGTTATTATCGTCATTGTATATACAGTAGTTGAAGTCAGAATTATTAGCCCCCCTGTTTATTTTCTCCTCAAATTCTGTATAACAGAAAGAAGATTTTAACACATTTCTAATCATAATAGTTTTACTAACTCATTTCTTATAACTGATTTATTTGATTGTTGTCATGATGACAGTACATAATATTTGCTAGATAATTTTTCAAGATTTAGCATTCAGCTGAAGGTGCCCCCTTCGGACCCTGTGTCCATTACAATGGACATCACATGTCAGCCCATGTTTTTTGTGGTTCCTGGACATCTAATTTAAAGCCTGCAGTCCACGATAGTGGACAATTATCATCCAATTAAATGGCAGTAAGGCTCGGGGTGTTGTAATAAAAAAAAAAAAATCCACTACACTGAAAAGCAGCATGGCATCACTTCATTCCAGACACAGACGTAAGCCACACTTACAAGGTTTTTATTCCGATTTATTGATATGTTTGCCATTATTTCATAGATTGAATGTTAAAAAAGAGGGGTTGCACTTATTAAAGTTTAAAATCTTATGTAACATTGCAAGCTTTAGATCAGGATTTCAAATATGTCTGTCTATTGGGATGTACAATGGGTTCAAGATCTGTTACTGGAATTAAATCTCCTGTAATGCTAATGAAATTTTTAATTTGCTTTATATATATATATATATATATATATATATATATATATATATATATATATATATATATATATATATATCGATGTACTAATTCATTGCTAAAACGATTTTATATGCAGAATATACAGATCTTGAAGTTCTTGAGCATACAGTATAGCAGATGGAAATAGCTCAGATGTGGACCTTATATGGTGTGATGAGGAATGTAAACAAGATGGGATCTATACAACAAAACAAAACAGTAAAAATGCGAGTATGTTAATGTTTGTGGTTTTTCTAAATAAATTTCAGGATTATACCAGCATAGCCATTATACCAGTTAGTATAATGTTTGGGACGTACAACTGTTTTGACCTGATGTCCATTGAAATGGACAAAAAAAATACATAAAGGTTGTTGAATTTATTATAATTTGGTCTCCTTTATAGGAGCCTCAAGAAACTTGGAACATAATTCGGGTCTGAAGGGGTTAAATTCTTAACTAGGTTTACTAGGTTAATTAGACAAGTTAGGGTAATTAGGCAAGTCATTGTATTTTATAATTATTTACAATTATAATTTTGACCTTAAAATGGTTTTTAAAAAAATTAAAAACTGCTTTTATTCTAGCCGAAATAAAAACAAATAAGACTTTCCAGAAGAAAAAATATTATAGGACATGCTGTGAAAAATTCCTTGCTCCAGTAAACATAACTTGAGAAATATAAAAGAAAAGAAACAAATTCACAGGAGGACAAATATAATCAGGATGTTCTTGAAGCTATTGTTTAATTATTTCATTCTCTCCAAAGGCTCCTCTTGGCTGGGTCGGGGTCTTGTGCGAGGAGCTGAAGCGACTGGTAAAGCCATTCAGAGAGGGGGGACTAAGCTGCGAGACAACATCACCCCAGAGGAGACTCCAGCAGAGGTCAGTCCTAAAGTCACCAAAGGCCTCAACGCAGCCAAACAGGCCACTGGCGGAGCGGTCAAAGTCAGCCAGTTTCTGGGTAAATCAATATTTATCTGACGCTGAATTATTTATAGCCTATTGCGTTCTGATGTTTAATATATTTTGATTTACTCTCCAGTGGACGGTGTTGCTGCCGTAGCGGGTAAAGTTGGGAAGGAACTCGCTCCACATGTAAAAAAACACGGTTGCAAACTCATCCCTGAGTCCCTCAAGAAAGGCAAAGATGGCAGCTCCAAAATGGATGGAGCCAAACTCGTGGCTGGAAGCAGCATACAAGGTGACTGAATTCATAGATTAGCTGTTCTGTCTTGCTGAATGGTTGGTGGATTTAGTTGATCAAGTTTGTTAAAGAGACAGTTCACGTAAAAGATGAACATTGCTTCAATGTTTACTTCATAGCCACAAGTGGATTTAAAGCTTTGATTTCTTTCTTCTGTTGAACGCAAAAGAAGATATTTTGAAGAATGTTGGTTGCTGGTGAAAATACATACTGAAAGTCAATGGGAGGCAGCTACCAGCATTTTTCTAAATATCTTCTTTTGTGTTCAACAGAAGAGAGAACTTCAATGATCGAATGAGGGGAGAGTAAATGATGGTAGAATTCTAAAATTTTGTGTGAACTGTCCCTTAAATATCTCAGAATTCATCTTTAAAGATACAGTTCACCCAAAAATTTAAATTGTCTGTTCATTTATTCATATTCTGGTGATTATTTCAGTCATCAGTAGAGCATCTCTAAAAACAGACACGTTTTGAACATTTTCTTTGGTCAAATTGTTTCCTGACAAAAAATAATTATATATTTTACTAAGCTACATGTGTTTCAAATGTTTGAGTTTCTTCTGTTGAACACAAAAGAAGATATTTGGAAGTTGATTTATGTTGATTGCTGGCGAAAAGAAATACTGAGAGTCAATGGGTGGAAGCTACCAGCATTTTTCTAAACATCATCTTTTGTGTTCAACAGAAGAAAGAAAATCAATGAGCTAATGAGGGGAGTAAATTATGGCAGAATTTAAGAATTCTGTGTGAACTGTCCCTTTAATATCTCAGAATTCATCTTTCAATCCATAGCAGGGGATCCCAAACTTGGTCCTGGAGGGCCGGTGTCTTGCAAAGTTTAAATCAAATCAAATCACTTTTATTTTCACTTGATTTGATTTGATATGATTTGACTTCCAACTTTCAACGTTGTTTAGCTCCAACTTCCTTCAACGCACTTGCCTGGAATTTCTAGCATACCTAGAAAGAGCTTGATAAGCTTGTTCAGGTGTGTCTAATTGGGGTTGGAGTTAAACTCTGCAGGACAGCATGGAGTTTGGGCACCGATGATCTATACTGATATATATTATTTTATAATTAATACATTTTTATTTAAATATTAAATGTATTTATTTATTTTAAAGGCCAGTTTACAAAAGGGCACAACCATAGGGTTACAATGTCTGTTTAAAGGGATAAAGGAAAATGCTAAAATTATAGTCAATGTTAAAAGTTAAAGTAAATAATCATAATAATAATTTATATATATATATATATATATATATATATATATATATATATATGCACAACAAAATAGTACCTGTGTTTACTGATGATGTACTGAGATTTTCAGTTTGAACAATCTAAATATTAACTTAAAATAGCTTTTCTCAGCTGACAAACACTGATCACCAATCAGAGTCCATTTTTTTTATAAAGAGCTCAAGAGTTCTAAGAAAGCATATCCATTATTGTTCTTTCATATGGATGATAACATTGTATAGTTCTCTTTATATCGATCATTCTTGAACAGGCTTTAATAAAACATTTTAGGTCATATTAAGATGCAAATTGTGCTGTAAACTGCAGGTTTATCGACTCTCTGGTCAAGTCTGGAAACAGCAGGAAAGACTATCGGGAAAAGTTTATCATCAGAGACGGTAACCACTGTGAGGCACAAGTACGTGATTCTTTTTAAGTCATAGCTCTGCAGGATTCTCTGATTCACAGTTTCTTGTCTACGTTCATATTTCATGCTTTGCTGTCTTTAAACGTAAATACTCTGGGAAATGCTTTAATTGATTCTTTTCTGTCACTTTTTCAGATTTAGGGGTCTAGGGAGTATCTTGGACCCTCCTAGTGGTGTATAAATGGTGGCGGGAAAAACAAGCGGTGTATTCTCTGATTAACCTCTCCAACAGTGCCTTATTTTCTTGAGTTATTGACCATTCAGAGGTTGCTGAGAGGGTGCTTGTTCTTGTTAATGATCCATCAGTATATTTTGCTAATTAAAATTGAGGTGAACGCAACCGTTTGTGTGATCATTGTGTTCTGCTTACAAATTTCACAGTTACATTTTCTGTGGAATCAATAGTTTGAAAATGAAATTTTATATGTGGGAATTTTCCAAATCAACAACAACAACACATGGTTCAATAGAAGTTCAAGTGGAGTGAACATAAAACAATTTAGCTGCCCCAAAAAACCTTAAGCGTTGATCAAACTACTTATTTGAAATGAGTTGAAACAAGCAGCAACAATGTTTTTTTTTTTCTTTTCTTTTTTTTAGTAAGGTACCTAAATATTAAGCACTATAATAGCTAAGGAGTACATATTCGTTCATTGATCCAAACACTAGATTAAATGTAAATAGAGCTTGCCATAGTCTGTGATGTGTTCTTCAGGGGCCTGTTTCAGAAAGGAGGTTAACTGAAAACTCAGAGTATTTTAACCCTGAAATGAGAGAAACTCTGGGTTTTCCGTTTCAAAATGGCAGGTTTGTTAAACTCGAGAAATCAGGGTAAGTCAAGCCTGTTTCTGAAAGAGAGTTAACTTTAACTCAGAGTCAGTTACTGTGGTAACTTACTCTGTGAATCTAACCTGGTCAGAAGCAGGTTTTATTCTCTAAACTCAGAGTTTCTGTCGGTCTCCTCCCCTTTTTTTAAAGATGAAGCGGTATTTCACGCCTTAGCCTTACGTTTCCACCCACCTATTTTAATGCTCATTTTGGATACGTGCATAAAAACGATTGATAGAAACGTATGATGCACATAACTTTTTAAAATATGCATAAAAAACGCACATAACTGAGTAGGATAAACTTTTATTCGATAGAAAATGTGCGCATAAATTACGATGGAAACACTTTTACTGAACAAATTACAGTATGTACATTAAAAAAAAGATCATGATCATATGATAATGAAAATGTGTGTAAATGGAGGCTGAGAACACTGTAACACGTCTTAAATATTGTTTTAGTCATTCTAAAATGCCTTTACAGTTTCAGTATTAGTGTATATTATTAATTACCTCCGAACGTCTGGTGCGTGTCAAGAGTCTCCGCGTCTCATGGCTTCAGACGCCCCCACGTGTTCATTGTGTTTCAGCATTGTCTTCTGACATCGAGGCGCAAGTACATTATTTAGGCTAAATAAAGAATTAATTGACGCAGCTTCTTCTACCACAGTAAATTCTGTTTTTACTGTTGATATTTGGTGCCAGTTAAATCAGGAAGTGACAATTTTTTTCTCTTTGACTCGTTGGATGGAATTTTATTCGCATCTTTTATGCAATATTGCAGTTTTGCACATAAATTTATGTAATATATTTGGATGGAAACATAGCTATTGCCTACATTTTAGTCACACACAGAAGAACTGTACTAGAATGGCTTATGCTTTTTTAATAAATAATTAAATTGAATTCACCTTCGATATGCACTGTAACTAGATTAATGGGATTATTATTCTTTCTAAAAATTATTTTTAGTACTGCTTACCTTCTAAATGTTATATTAACCTCTCTCACTTGATCAATAAAAAAGGCAGACACACAAGTGCACTGTTAAATCATTTAAAACTAATAAATGTATAAAAGAAAGTTTAGAAAAAAAAATATATAAACGTCACAAATTATTATACTTAAATATTTAAATACTTAAAAAGTTAAATTAGGCATTATCTTGAGCAGCTGTTTTCCCACGCTAACTGGTTGATGGCTGCTTCTTTTCAAATATATACGCTCATATTTGCTAGAACTTTGCATGAGAACATCAAGTTCAGCTGGAGAAAGAAATGGTGATCTCTTTTATAAGATATTGTCATAGTCACTCGTAATGTCTGCGCTCCACTGATAATGCCTTTTTATAGTCACGGTGCGCGCGCTTAACTCTGAGTTGGTCTACTCGAAGTTGATTGACCCAACTCAGATCAGCTGTTCTGAAACCGAAAACTCTGAGTTTTTAATCTCTCGGTAAATCAACTCAGAGTTCAAGTTTAAACTCTGAGTTGTTTGAACCTCCTTACTGAAACAGGCCCCAGCTCAGATTATGTTATTGTCTGTGATCAGGTATGGAGACGAGGCAGGACAAGCGGCAGACACTGCAGTCCAGTCTACTGTCAATGTGGGGGTCACAGCATTTAATATGGACAATGTGTGCCTCAAGGGTGTGCTGAAGGCCACAGGCAAACAGACTACAAAGGAAATAGTCAAAGACACGCCAAAAGGAGAAAAAACTGAGGACAAAGACAAGTCACCAAAGAAAAGATGAGGGAAAAATGACTTGCATGAATTATCATGTATGTTCTTGTAGCACACATCAGTACTTTTGCATTGATGATGAAATATCATGCTGTGATGTTTACATAATTATTTTATTATATTAATGAAATGTATATTTAGTTTTACATTTTCGTAATGTTATTCTGAGGATTATAGAAGGAAAACATAAGTATTATGTTGTGATGTTTCCAGAAAATAAGCTTATATTAGTGAAACAAATGTTAAACTCTCAGTACAAAAACAATTATATCCATAATGATATTGGAAGGGTTATATTTATATACGGAAAACCTTTTACCTTGTTTGAATCATTGTATGTCATCAGGATTAATATAAATGATATATTACTTTTAATAGCCTCCTATGTGGCTCATGATTAAAGTTTACACGGAAAACATACAGGTCAGCTGTAGCTTTAACAGTAACTAAATAATTGAATATTATATTTGTAAAAACAGCTGCCATAGTTGTAATAAAAATAAGTGTATTCATACATGCTGTATATACATGATTTCTTATTATGCTGTCGAACTATCAATGTTAGTGTTGTAGCAATGGTAAACCCAAGGTTATTGGACCAGTCGTGGTTGCGTTGTGTTGTCATGGATACCGCTCAACAGTCCTAAAACTCGACACCGACGAAAGTGAAACCCGTCCGTTTGTTCAGACTAAAATGGGAGAAAGCGATCTCGGAAATTATGAAAGTTCTCGACTGCATGCAGAAGTGGAGCACGAGAGAGAGGTCAAGTGAGTACAAGTTACATACAGGTGAACCGCAGACATTTGAGTTGCACAGTTATTCAGTTAAACAGACTTTGTTTAGTATACTTGTGAATCGTTTTAAAGGGAGATGTTGCAGGACTCTGTGTCTGATCTGAGGAACACCTTGGCTGATTTGGAGAGACGACTTCACAGTGTAGAGGAAGAAGGTCTGTAGGCTTCTACATGAAGAATCAATATTGACGTTATATTCCAGAAGAATCGTTTTATACTCCAGAGATTTTCAGCATATGGCAAGCGGTTTTCACCTAAACTTCTGAACTAATTTAATCTCAATTAGTAACAGGATTTCTGCAGGTTTCTTCAAATCAAATTTCAGACTTTTTAAGACCATTATGAATGAAATTTTAGACTTGTACAGGGCTAAACCCTAAGTATTCTTTCTAATTTCTAACTCCTGTAAAGTTTTTGTATTAATGGAAGGTCATGTGAGGATGTGGTACTTTAGTTTTTTCTTTCCCTGATTAGGGAATTTAACTTGGAGAATTTGTTATAAAAATGTCCAAGAGCTGTTATGAATTGTATTTCTTTGCATTAAAAAACTTAAATATAAGAAAATAAGTTTTATGGTGGATTATATGTGATTGGGTGTCAACCAGATCGGGTAGCTTTACATCTAGTAACTTTTTAAGGCCTGTTTTCGAAATTTAAGACTTTTTAAGACCCCGCGGAAATACTGTAGTAAGAATTGAATTTAATAATAGATTCTAACTAAACAATTGCAATTAGTGAGCTCTACAAATAATTATTACTAGTTGTATATTTCAATCAATTTCTTTTTATTTTCCAGCTGGCACCTTGCATCAAAATAATGTGTCAAACATGCAAATCAATTTGATGTCAAAGCATTAATGTCCATTTGACATCCACACATCGATGCCCATTTGACCACCAAAATAACGGATCGGAAATTGTTAAACTTTTATAAACATGCTTAAAAAAAAAAAAAAAAAAAAAAAAGCTTCAATTCCAAATTTACTCTGGATTTTGATGTACCTTGATGTCAAAATGACTAGTGTAATATATAAAAAACTAGCATAATTTTAGCATTAAAAAAACACATTAAAACTCAACCACAGGACTGTCTGTCTTGTAATTGTGTTTTATTAATGCCCATGTTAAGTCAATTTGATATTATTTTGATATCAGTTTAGACATCAAACATCAAATCTGTTTTTGATGTTTATTTTTTTAACGTGTTTTTATGTTTGACATCAGCATGCCTGCTGGGTTTTAACTAAAGAGTTATATAACTTTTGTTGTTGTTAAGAATTACGTGAATGAGTATTATGAAGTGAAAATTCTAATAAGAATTCTGTAAAGAAGCTCTAATTCATCTCTTAGTAATAAATGTATTGGATCTTTTACTAGTAATAACTAAACAAGATAGCCTGTCTAACTGAATGAAAAAGCACTTTAATACTGTTATTTCTAAAAAAGAATCACATTAAAGAGCTGTTATTATAATTACTAACAGTAAGCATTTCAGTTGCAGAGCATTTTAAATTTAATTGTAACTAGTAATCATTTTAATAAGATATCTAATGATATCAGAGAGTTCTACTATTGTCTTGTTACAAGTAAGGCAGCATTCTTAACTGCATTATGGAGATTGCTTTATGAAGGAATTTTTTACAAATAAGTATGCAATTGCAGAGTCCTTAAATTCTTGCTAGTAATAATGCAAATATGATGAGGAAATCTAAAATGGCTCGCCATACTGTATATGATATATGGACAGTTTTTTTTTTATAGACTAAGGAAAAAAAAAATCAAGTCTGAATTTGCATTTTGCGTAGAGAACGAGTGGAGGACCCGATACGAGACTCAGCTGGAGCTGAATGAACAGCTGGAGAAACAAATCAGTGTAGTTCGAGAGAGACTCCAGACTCTCCGCAGTGATCCTTCAGGTAAATTATAAACAGTACCATGCAGAATATGACACAAACTTTCTTTCTATCTGTCTATACATCTTTATTTTTTGTTTTTGGAAATATATCTTATGGTGCAATATAGACCAAAGATTACTTTCTATTAGGTCATTTCTGGGGTCTAATTTATAAAATTATGCAAAGAAACCTTCCTAAAAGTGAAATTACACCAGAGAATAACTTTGCTGTGTCGCCTCACAGGAAGAAGGTCGCAGGTTTGAGTCTTGGCTGGGTCAGTCGGCATTTTAGTGTGGAGTTTGCATGTTCTACGCCATTGGCGTAGGTATCCTCCGGGTGCTCCAGTTTCCCCCCACAGTCCAAAGACATGTGCTATAGGTCAATTGGATTAACTAAATTGGATGTAGTTTATTGGTGTGTGTGTAAATGCGAGAGTATATGGATGTTCCCCATTACTGGATTGCAGCTGGAAGGGGATCCACTGCATAAAACAGTCAAGTTTGTTTTTTTATAGAGCACAATTTGTGCGTGGAAATTGCCATACGTATATTCCCCCCACCTGTTTTTTCGCATAGCCTTTGTCATGTTTATACATTTTTTTTTAACTGTATTTTTTCTCTCTTTATTGGAAATACAAAATTCGAATAAAACAAAAATGACATTAAACTTAAAAAATGTATGTATAAAAATGTTTAAAGTTAAACACAATAGTGTCTTATTAGGTCCAGAAAAAGAATTTATAGCCTATACAAATATAATACGTCACGTTTATTAATGAAACCCCTCATTTTCCATAGACACTCAATCTGTAATAATCCAAATGAACACTTGGGGGCACGTGTAAAATGAAACAGGACATTTCAGATAAAAAGTTTTACAGTGTCTATGTGTGTGTTTGTATGCGTGCGTGTTGTGGTTTACATCATGAGCTGGGTCACCATAGTTCATCTCCATAGTTTCACATGCACTTTTTCACATACAGGTTTGATGGCTGCACATCCATGATGCAAATCTCCCTTTCCATCACATACCAAAAGTGCACTTTTTGAGATGTTGACTGTGGAGTCATTTGGAAACAGTGAACCCACTGACATGTTCAAGAAACTGAGATTATTGGAGCTTTGCGTCATGGTGTGCTATCCTGCTAGAAATAGCCATCATGAGATTTTTAATACTGTATGTGTTTAAAAAATGTGATAAACAATACACCGGTAGACTTTGCCATTGAAAAAATGCTCGGTTGGTGCTGAAGGGCTCAAGAAAATCCAACAAATCAAATACTGAACTGCTGAAACAGGGAGATGTGTATATTGGTGTGCTTTTCTTTAATTTGAGTTTTTGCCTTGTTTTTAATCCAAATATCTACAAATTATTAAATCAAGAAGCGTTTTCTATACAAGTTAAAATATTTTCACTTTTAAAAGTTTTTTCCTTAAAACAAACAAAATAAACTCCCTGTGGGGTCATTAAAAAAATCTTGTTTTCAGTGTCAAATAAGAATATTTCACTTACCCTATTAACAGATTATTTGTCTAATTTAAAGGAAAAGCTCTTGACTTGTATTTCTGAAAACAAAACTTTATATGTTTTACTTGTCTAGAAAATGCTTCTTGATTTAAGAATTTTTAGATATTTGGACTAAAAACAAGACAAAACAATTTTTTTGCAGTGTACTGTATGTGTTGCTTAGGTTAGATTTTGAGCCGACCATCCAAATGTTACTGCAGGAATAAGACAATTTGATTGAATGATATAAACAAAATGATTTAAGAGTCATGATGGAAAATGAAATATGAGGCAGGCCTAAATAAGCAAGACAGACTCATTTTTTTAGTTTTATGTTCTGTTGTTGTATTGGGAACATACCGCACCTTCTTACATTTGTCTAATTTTTCAGATCGACTGGCTTCTATCCGCTCATATGAAGAAATGTCTGAGGTTAGTATTACAGCAATGTTACAACTTCCAGATCATGTAAATACAGGTGTACTTGTAGATCAATCAGGCTTTTATTTGTCACATAAACGTTCGTATAGTGTAATTGAACACCTTCAATTTAAGAAGTGAATACTGTGATATTAGGTGGAATAACACAGACTTTTCATTCACACCAAATGGAAAAGCATTTGTTATTTTGTCCAATTGTCATTTTGTGATCATAAATAAATACATTTTGTGTTTGTCAGTTTAGTTTTTTTCATATATTTAAATATAATTATTCTGTTCATCAAGGCATTTTTTTAAATGGTTAAATATTAATATTTATTCAAATTTTGAATTACTTTTTTATTTTTTTTTACAAATTTAAATTTCTTATTGTATGTTGTTTCAAATGAAATCATTATTGCTTTTATTACTATTAACATTATTATTATTATTATTATTATTATTATTATTATTATTAATAATTAATATTAGAGTGATGTCTGAAGGATCATGCGACTGAAGACTGGAGTATTGAAGCTGAAAATTCAATGAATAACTGCTGAAATGATAAACTACTTTTGAACAGTTATTTTATAGTGCAGTAACATTTCACAAGTTTGCAATCTGTACTGTATTTTTGATGAAATAAATGCAGCCTTGGTAAGCAGGAGAAGCTTATTTTAAAACATTTAAAAATCATACTGACCCCAAACTTTTGACCGGTAGTGGATCTCTTTCAATTCAGACAAATAACTATTA